GTGGTGGTTGAACAGCTGTTGAATGTCCGTAACACGGAAGTTTTGCACACTAAACTTCCTTTGATCATCTGCAAGTGTAATGACATAAATTTAATTTATAGTATGAACCACTATGAATTAGTATGATATGTATACATTGTTTGTTCTCGCTGCATAGTTTGGTTCACCGGCAATCTTCGGCATTCCAAAGCATTATATATCGTTTCACTGGGCTTCGAGTGCAGTTGCGGCTGGGAGGTCACACCCGTCACTGCAAACCTTTGAAAATTGTGAGATTTGCAATAGTGACACCTCAATTCATCTTCTCATGGTGCCACGTTCCCTTCGGAAACTAATTCCACCAGAGTGTGGAAGATCAACAACTCCTTCAGGGACAAGTGGAATTCAGGATGTCATGATCTCAATCTGCAACAGCTGCCTATGCCAAGTGATTGGAATCTGCATGAATCTGCCCAAGTCTGACGGCATACCGCACTCGATTACTTTTTTCGTTACTCTCACGGAATTCTGAACATCGGAAGGCTCCTAGGTTTCACCATCACAGCAAATCTTCGACCATATCCTTGGCCGAGTCCCATGAGTTCATGAGAGTCACCAATCTGAACTTGGGCCAGGTGGAAGAGGCTCTCACTCTTTATACTTAGCGACGAACACATGCACCGGAATTGCGCTTTACCCAAAGCACCCACAGGAGGGTAAGCCATTTGGGATAGGTAGGGCAAAGCCTACAAGCTCACTAGCCTCATTGCCCAAAATTGATTGCAGCCATGCAGCCTGAAGCTCAGCATGCCTGGTTCCAGTGACCCTTCCCTGAATTTCGCCGTCCTGCATCTGACATGGTGCCGCTAAGGACATCACCAACCATTCTTCACAAACTGTGCGACAAGTTGATCTTGGCACACATCCTCTATGAAATTGCAATAAAATAACTCTTTCGAGGGTAAACACCCTAAAGCAGCTAACACCAAATGATCCTCTACAGCAGCTGCCAAAAGTATTGGCATCACCGATCCAGTCCTTGAAGAGAATGAAGGTGGGCAGCTCACGGACTTCCATGTCAGAGTAAAGTGGCTTCACAGCTTTGGCATTCTTGCCTGGACAACACTTGGACATGTATGACATGAATTTCACATGAGCCACACGCAAGATCAGCATCGGTCGTCAAGAATTTGTGCAAAGCACTTATGCAAACATTGTGCCCTTTCAGTCTACCTGTTGTACAAGCTCTTTGTCAAAGCAGTATGCCTGGTTCCAAGCTGATCTTTACCACTTTCAGACCGTCGTTGGCATATTTTACCTTGGCACAATAGCTCAAGGTTCAATTTGCACTTCTTCGCTGAAGCGGCTATGGCTGGGTGAAGCACCTTCAGTCTGTCACCTGTCCATGCTTGCGTGTCACTGCCCCAATGAACTTGTTTGTCTGTGTATGTATGTATGTATGTATGTATGTATGCATGTATACATGTGTATATATATATATACTACTTATCTGATTTTGCCTGTGGACAGGTTCTATATTTCGCTTGCAAAAATTCCAGGCAGTTTATGCATGTCGCTCAAGAACCACTGCTTGGCTCAGCTGCCGCCATCTCTTCCATCTTCGGCTCCATCAGGAAGCATGGCCCACACATGGATGAGGAAAACATTGCCTGACAATTTGCGGCTCCCAACAAGTCCCCAAACAATGTTCAAAAAAACGGTGCCACATTAGACCTACCGAATAGTATACTGCCTAAATGCCTAAATGTTCCAAAACCTCCCTCAGTCTGGAACTCCCAAGCAAAAGAGATGGTGTCATCTGGAACAAGTTAAAGCTGCGATCATACAATACGTGTGTAGAGATGGGGCGGCAGTATCTGAATCTCAAATGCCTTGAGTCAGTGCAGCTGTCATCTCCATGTATAGAATATGTGATAAAATGGGTGAGTAGAAGCAAATCAAAAGCGCTCAGCAATCCTGGTGGTCGTGCAGCCAAGTGTCCACTGTCAGGGAGCCTCCTCCGAGGTTTTTCTCGAAGTCCTCGCGGTTGTCAAAGGACATGATGGCACTTGCACCTGAAAGGATCCGTAAGGATCCATTCGGCCAGACGATGTAGTACGCTCGGTGGCGTGCAATGATGTACGCTCAGTGAGGCCTGTACTACCTGTCCTGTACGACCTTGTCAACCACTTCCCTTGGCGCGCCTCCCTTGGCTCTCCTTGCCACTGCTGTTCCACGGCCTTGGGAGGTCAAAAGAGACTCTCACAAGTGCGTGACACACATCATCACATATCAAATGTGAAGTGTCTGGGTGCCTTGGGTGATGTGATGATCATGAATTTTGGATCACTAGTTTCTCATAGTTTCTCCAACTCTTCATGCCTATCGTGGTATATTGCGTGTGAGTGCTCAACCCATGGTCGCCTGTGCCCATCGGAAGGAAGAATCCTCTGCCCTGGCATTCGAGGTTGGGGTGGCCCGTTGGTGATTGAATGTGCTATCCGCTTGCATGAGGGGAAACTTACGTCGTCCCTCATGTTCATGAATCTGAGCGCAAACAAAAACGAATGGCGTTGGATCATGCGGACAAAGCTATATTCTTCTTGACCCTTTGAGCTGTTTTCATCCCTGCAAGCAGGCCCTCGCTGACCAGCAGTGCTGTGGTCAGAAGCACAAGGAGGAGGACAGGGCGGCTCTGCATCCTGATCAAGTAAATGACCGCCAAACAGGCAGTTATGAAGATTGATTGAGAATTGATAACCTACCATCATCTATATTAATACAGTATATATATATATTTACTTTATCTATACCCTATATGTGATACTACAGGTTCATACATTTTCACAAAATAACTGCCAGGATCTGCCAGGAAGGTTCAGGAATCTCGGTTCTTGATTTCTTTGCGATGGTGCACGGCTTTAGCTCCTATTCAAAGGGTGCTCCAAACTGCAAATTTGCCCTGGCAGTCAGGAGTCGGCCCTTTCGAGCCTGGTTTGGGTCATTGGTCACGTGTGGAGACTAGTGTTGGCAGTGAAAACGCTGAATGCTTGAGGCACTCTGAGCCAGTCTGCGGTCAAATCACCACTGATCAACAGATGACAGAGTGCTGTGGCATGTCGTGGCTCATTGGCCAATACAATGGATGACATCAATAATGGACTGAGCCCTAGACCTTCATTGAAAAGCCAACGCAGCTGCAAAGCAAAGTCGCTCACAGTGGCTTCTGCAACTGCATGATACCCAAAGTCAGGTAGAAAAGCATGTGCGATGACCTTGCCATGGTGGTCTGGCTGTGCTGGGATAAACACCTTGCCACCCATGTGTGGCAAAGGGTAGAAGAGAGTGCCTGGGTCAGGCCCTGCACTGATCAAGCAACATCTCACATGTGGCGAATGCACGGCTAGGCTATGCACAAAAATCCCTGCTACTTCACCTCCCGGGCTCATCATGCGCAAATCATCTGCTGTATCTGCAGGTGGGAGGAAGAGACCAAAAACAGGTCTGGGCACATCAACACGCAGCGTGCTTGGAAGCACCCGCAAAACGATGGCATGTTCATCCACAGGTATGGTCAGCACCTTCTCATCAACAGGGCGGAGCCTGAGAGCTAGCACATCAATGAATGCATCTGGGACTGTAAGAAGTCGGGTCAAATCCAAGCCCCTCGTTCTTTCAGAGGAAAAGTTGGCCGAGACCCGCCAAAGAGCGCGCCCAATTAGACGTGAAGGGTCTGAAAGGCAAATCTCTGCACAGTCGCCAATGTGACTGATGCAAAAACTTGCGTGTGATTGTTCTTGTGCGTATTCTGAGAAGCACCCAGCGGGTACGTAGAACACGAGTGGCAAATCGAGGCCCGGAGGTACAGCTGCAAGGGTGATCCTGATGCTTAGGCCACATGGCATCCCTGGCTTCGGTCTAAGGAATTCTGCCGGGAAGAACCTGAGGTGCATCCTTGGAGGGTGCTTGACCCCTGCCATCTCAAAAGCTAGTGGATCTGGATGCGCATCCACAAACATGTTGCACATCCCACCTGCTCCGCGCATGCGCGAGAGGCGCTTCATGCACTTGCCAGCTTTATCTCCCAAAGAGGCATGAGCACTGAAGACCACATCCCGTTCCACCACAAAAAGCTCCTTCATTTCCGGGCATGCTAAGGCTTCTTTGGATTCAGCCACCCAACTGATGAAGCCACTTGAAGGGGAGAGGCCGTCCTGGTCTGGCCCTGGGGCCTGTGGAGGCCCTGCAGCTGCTTCCAAGGACCATCGGCCAAGCCCCAGCTCAGGTGAAAAGCGAAGCACTCCACACCAGTCCACTGGGTGGGCTATGGCATTGGCCAAGGACAGGACTTTGCCGCCTGGAGCTGGAGGTTCAGGGCGTGGCTCGTCCACTGAGAGTTCAATCGACAAGCTTCCGTACCTCAGAAAGACGGATGCTCCACTTATTGTTTCTGTGATTCAGGAAGTGCACAAATCGAAAAGTGTACAACCATACCTCGTAGAAAGCCAAGCGCTACGAGTGTTTTCATCTTACTTTGGCTCAAGGTTTGAAAAGGCCCGACGCGCTGGGCATCCCATTTCATAACCACAGGTTATGAGCCCAAGGTGACTTTTTTCTTTTTCCAAGTCCACCTCTTGCCGCTGTGTGAGCGGAAGAGTGCTGGTCCCCATGGAACAGCGGCGACGGCGCCAGCAGCGGTCGAGGGAGCGGAAGGAGACCGTGGAGCCCCAGGTGGAGATCGGAGCGGCAGATCGCCGGCTGGATGCTTTGATTGAGGAAGAGCTGAAGGCCACGGCGGCGAGAGCGCAATCAGTGCCTGTGAGGGCTGCTGAAGTGAAGCGGCTGGGCGGAGCTGCTGGGGCTGGATCGGGCCAGGGAGGCCCTCCGGTGGTGGCTGCATCGAGTGGTCACCAAGGACAACAGGAAGTTCGACAGCTGTTGAATGACCCAAGAGGCCAGGTGATGGGGCTTGGGCATTTGCAGGAGGCAGTTCGGCAGTCATTCATCCCTCTTGAAGTCCCTCCGCAGCATGAAGACCTTCAGATTGAAGCAGATTCATGTGGCAGATACCAATGAGGGTTTGGAGCTGGCACTATTGGATGGTGGAGCTACTCACCCATTGAGAATGGTGAGACAAGAGGAGCGAGGGAAGTTGCAGCCTGTGACGGTGGAGCTTGCCCATGGATGTACAACCTTGTACAAGCACCCAGACTTTGACACCCTCTTGTCCTTGGAGCCAGTGGAGCCGATCTTGCCGCTGAGTTTGCTGGTGGAGAATGGGTATGCCATTAACTGGAATGGACAGGGTTGCACGATCATGCGCCAGCAGCTTGGAGCTGTGAAGTGTTGGTTGAGGTCGGGGTGCCCTGTCATGAATCGAAAGGATGCCATGGTGATGTTGGCAGAGTTTGAAGAGAACCAGAAGAATCGGAAGAGGTTGTCCCAAGCGGACTGGAATTGGTGGCGTAGCATCATGCCGGACGTGCCGGAGGACGTGCTGGAGATGATGGTTGGGTTTTCGTGGGGCTTGGAGGGGCTAACCGCCCGAGAGCGTGAACAGGTGCGAGGGATTCCGCACTGGTGGTGAAACAGGTGGGGCTATGGCACCTCGCGGAGGAACATCGGGAAGGACCTGATCCGGTGGCATTTCTTCTGGAATCTCCGCAGGACCCTGCCAGCTATGTGGGAGATGGAGTTGATGCCGGGCATGATCATCCGTCTTTCTTTGAATGGCCGTTGTTGAGGAGAATGGTTGATGAGTATGGAATGAGTTTGGTGAGCTTCGACCAAGGAAGAACGGGGCACTCCCGGCGAAAACCCACTAGCTTGCTGACCAACCTTCGTCACCTGGAAGATCTGGATGGACTCAGGGGAGGAGGATCGGCAGACCCGGTGGAAGGAGGACTACAGGAGAGAATGAAAGCATCTCGGTCGTGGGCGCGTTGGTCCAGTGGGCTGGTGAAGGAAGGCGATTGGACTGGCCTTGAACCTTCGGTTTGGGGGGAGAGCTCACTTGAGTCTGGCCAAGATGGATGTGGAGGAATGGAAGAGACACATCAAGCAGGAGCACGTTCCCTACACGAGAGATTGTCGGGATTGTGTAGAGGCTATGGGTTTCTCCAGTCCACATCGGCGATCCAGAAATGCCTCTTCGGCCTTTGTGATGGCGGTGGATATCATGGGCCCATTCGATCAGGGGAGAGACCTTGGTTTGAACCAGTGGTGCAAGTATGTGATGGTGGCTACAATCCCGGCGCCGATTGTGAAGGATCTGGCCGGGGCACCAGAGGAACCACTGGACCACGAGGCGGAGGTCAAGGATGTGGTGGAGATTGAGGAGGAGAAGGAGGACGTAGAGATGGCGACCGAGGAGCAGGTGATAGAGCTCAACATGAAAGCGGCACTGGAACGAGCCCAGGAAGAGGTTCCGCTACAGAACCTTACGATTGCAGAGCCGATGCAGTCTCGAGGGGTGGAGGACATCGTGCGGGCGCTCTCCAAGGTGCATGCCCACTACAGGATGTTGGGGGTGCGGCCATGTCGGCTGCATTCGGACAGGGAGAAGTCCTTCCTCACGAAGGCTGTGGCCAGGTGGGTTCAGGCCCGAGAGATGGTTCACACGATGACATCAGGTGATGATAGCCAGTCAAATGGCAGGGTGGAGGCAGAGCTTCTGCAGCTCAAGCGAAGGATGAGGCTCCTTCTTCACACCAGCAAGGTGGAGGCGTCGCTGTGGCCATGTGCACTTAGGCATGCTGCTACTCAACGACTTCGCATACAACTTCAGAGGCTGGGAGTGGGATCGAAGCCAATGGTCAACTTCGGATCGATGGTCATGGCTAAAGCCAAGAGATGGCATCACAAAACTGGAGAGCTGACCAACCCGTTCAAGAGAGTGCAGGTGTTGGGACCAAGTCCGTTGATGTCATCTGGTTGGGTAGCCAAGGACAAACAGAACAGAATTCAACATCTTCGGACGGTGGTGACCCCTTCGAAAACCTTGGAAGCGGTACTGGAGCTGCAGGAGGTGGACCTCAAGGACAAGGGCATCAGACATCGACTGACAGGAAAACAGTCCTTCGACCCGCGCCCACTAAAAGATGTGGTGGCTCGACATTTTGATGCAGGAGTCCGACCAGCTCTTCGGGTACTACAAGCTGGGGGGGAGACCACTGAACCAATTTCGGAAAATCCGGAACCTACTCCATTGAACTTGCTGTCGGTATGGCAACCTGGAGAGGATGTGAATGGCATGATGGACTCCACCGATCAATCCATGGAGCCAATGGTCGGGGGAGATGGTGAAGAAGAGGTGGTTGGCGTGGAGTTGGAGGTCTCCGGGCCGCTGAGGGACTACCTGGAGGAGTCGGAGCGGGACTTCAGTGGTGGTGGTCTGGAGTTTGTGGACGATGAGGATGTCGAGGAGGTGGTCGATGAGATGGAGCCGGAGTCGGAAGGAGATCAGTCGGGGTGGAGAGCTTGGGAATGCCTTTTGGGGAGCTGGCGATGGTGTGTTGTGGAGATTGTGGACTTCTTCAACCTCGGCATCCCCACCAAGTCCCGACTGAGAATCCAAGAGACATTCGCGGCTGCGGGGTGGTGATGAGCTCATGCAAGCGGCGGTGGAAGGTACGCTGGATTTGGTGGAGGCGACACAGATTTCCTGCGGTTTCTGTGGTGGCAACTTGGAGTATGTGGACGACTACCGAGAACGTCGGACTGGAGGTCTATGGACGGGCTCTAGTTGTTCTTGGGATCAAGGTGAGGAGTGGCACGCCATGGAGGCGAATCCTTGAAGCGCCGGATGGACCTTGGAGGACACGTCACCTTCGTCTTCGAGCCCATGCACGAGAGAGGGTGAAGTGGGGCGCTTGGAAGGTGATTCATATCCCAGGTCAACATTTGGTGGCCGACTTCTTGACGAAGCCAATTGGAGTTGCGGCGAGATGGCAGCATTTCTTCGCGGCTATGGGAATGAAACCGGTGGTGGAAACTTTGTCTGAGAGTTTAGGGTCCAAAGTGGCCAGGATCGCAGCTTTGGTAGGTGGGCTAGCGGGCGTGATGGCTTGGCGGCCGTCAGGCCCTACGGGCAAGGCCGCTCAGAGCCTGGCCGTAGCCGCGATGGTAGCTAGTTTGGCCACCAGCTGGAAAGCCGGCTGTAATTCTAAGAAGGAAGCCACTGGGCCGACAAGATCTGATTACGTAGATCCACCTTACGGACTTCAAGATCAGGTGAGGGAAGATGAACCCACCTGCAGTAGAGACGCTGGGTCGGAAAAGGAACCCATCCAGGAACCTAGCCCTGAGGGCTCCTGGGATTACGCGGTAGAGGTGAGCCATGGCGGTAACTCGAAGAGGGCACGATTGGCCGCTCTGAGAGTGGAACCTTCGGCGGAACCTGGAGGGATATCGTCGACGACCACGGGAACGGCTCCAGCTGTGGACTACGATCGACCCTGGACGTGGAGGAGGTTTTTGATGCCTTCAAGGGGTCAAGATCGGTGGGACCGACTTCCAGGGGGGTGGTGGGTCAGACACCATGTGAAACAGAGGATGAGACCTTTCCATCCAATTCATCGACGAACACCTATGGACTGTAGCCACATTCAAGATCGGAGAATCACCGTGTTGTGGTGTCATGGAGAAAGGGTGATCAGAGATGATGATTGGAGGAGAGACACAGAACCACCTGCGAGGGATGCTTGGGTGGGATATACTTTCTTCCGAGATCTTCATCCAGACCCAACCACAGGGACTTTGACTTCGACATCCAGTTCCTCGACTACCAGAGGGCGGGGCGATCGGACGTCTTCATCGATGAGCAGTTCATTGACCTCCGGACCACCGCCAATGCCGGGCATTGCGGAACATGGTCCAGTGGCTGAAGGGTTGCCTCGAGATGTCCGACCGGATCGTCAGGAACCGGAACCAGATCCTATGGAATCTACGTCGGAGCTCAGTACGAGGATGACTGAGGGAGTGAGCAGCAGTGGCCTTGGGGGCTATGGGCAGCGGCTTCGTGGACATCAACAGCGAGGCGAAGTCGAAGGCTCGGGAACCTCGGGAGAGTCTCAAGAGCTCTCCTTGGTGAGTGAGGAAATTGACAGAGGGTGGGACTACGACCCAGCCTACTGGGCACAAGGACCTGGAGGACATGATGGAACTACGCTGGAGGATGATGTGCGGGATGATTGGCTGGCGTTCATGCGGGACTTGACCGTTGATGCGGGGTCGCCTGCGGGGAACCGGCCGGTGGAGAGTGAGTCGAGCAGTGCAGAAAGACCTGACTGGAGGAGAACTCTGGCCAGTGAGGATGAAGAACCGCCAACCTTGGACGAGATGACCGCTCAAGGGTGGAGGGTGGTGCGAAGTAACTTGGCACCCCCGAATCGAGAAATCTACAGAGGACCGGATCCTGTACTACCACCAGCTGAGGACCCAAATCAGGAGACACCAACTTGGATGGGGGTGTTTACGCAGATGCCAGTGAGGCCCAGGTCAAATGACCCTTGGGAGCCGCGACGCGGTTTTTCTGGAACCTCAAGGGATCGTGGAGACTCAAGCGAGTCAGACGGGAGTTTTGAATAGCTCTCAATGGCTTGAACCAAGCCAGGGGGAGTGTGATTCAGGAAGTGCACAAATCGAAAAGTGTACAACCATACCTCGTAGAAAGCCAAGCGCTACGAGTGTTTTCATCTTACTTTGGCTCAAGGTTTGAAAAGGCCCGACGCGCTGGGCATCCCATTTCATAACCACAGTTTCTAATAGCTTCTTGTTACTACGAATAAGGCACTTGTTACTAGAAGCGATGCACTTGTTCCTAGTAGCTTATTGTTTCCTAGGGAGGGTGCTAATTGGCTAGATTCTAGATCTTTCGTGCATGCTTTGCCGCCGCTTTCGCGACCTGTGTTTTGGACTTTCACGGGCCTCAGTTCAAAGCATGTACTGTACTTACTTGCCACCTTCGCGGCACCTTCATTCTGCAGCATGCAAATACACATAATACAATCTATATATATTACATCTACATCAATCTACTACATTCCATTCCACGAAAGCTTGACAACTATTTTCGCAACAACAGGTCCAAATGTCACGTTCGCAAAGCTTTCTCCAGGCTTTCGCGCCCTGGGATTTCACACCAAACGCAACTGGCAGGCTTGCTGACTACAGTACTTAGGTAGGCGAGAGGCCTTCCTGGAGCCTCTTCCAGCGGCCGCGAGATGTGGATCTTCTGCTGCCAGGCCAAGGGTCCCAGCTCCTCCCTCAAGCGCAAAAAGCCATAGCAGAAGGGCGCGCCCGGCCTGGCCAGTCGATCAAAATATGCGTTCTTCGGTTCTACGGCCTAAAACCTAAAATACTTATATATCTAAAATTGATAAGGAACATGGATGCAATAGTGGGCAATAGTTGCAATGGCTCATTGACTTCAAAGCTGGAATTGTGGAGGAGCCAAAAAATAACCGCCGACGACGGGTCCAGCGGTATTGAACAAGCTCTATGATTTTGATTGATTGATGGATTGCTCGGTCCGGTTGTGCCATCGCCTCGGCTGCAGGGGGTCTGACTCCAGAACGACCAAGAGCAACTCGCTGGTCAACTCCACCGTGACACTAAACGGCTGCCAGCGTGGGCGTGGAAAGCTGGGCTGGCCCTGCAAAGCAGGACCGCGACCAAAGAAGCATGAAATCATTTCGGATGCCAAGTCACTGTAAACGACTTGGAGTCCAAAAAAAAAGTTTTCTGAATATTGAATATTGGGCTGTGGGCACACTTGAATTCCCTGTTTGTTTTGTTCTATTTTATTACTGTCTTCGTGCTTTGAAAGCATGTGCGCGTGGCCCCACAACCATGGCCACACATAGTGGGACTGCAACAGCATCTACTGGCAGACTGGGAAGTCATTGCGTCAGCTGCCTCTGATTGCCCACGGAGGTGGCCATCCACAAAGGCTGCTAAGCGTGGCGTCCCAAAGGTCCCGAGCTCATGCTCTCGGGGGCAAAGGTCGCTGGCCTCAGAGATCACAAGAATCCAAGAGAGCTGAGCAGCGTGATCAAAAAACATTAAAAAATAAAAAACACATGCAAAACAGCACCTGCATGTGGCGCATTCGGCTCTCTATGGCTCTCACTATGTTGGTTCATCACAAGGAGCTGAAAAAAGCGTACCCTTCAGGTCCCTTTAACTCTTTTTGCACGTGCTCAGCTGCTCGGCTTGGCTTGGTCGCAGCCTTTGTCGGTCTACCCGGAACGGAGGTGCTAAGCAGGTGCTTCCTTGCCAGCTTCAACGTATCTTGGGCCCTCAACTTTCGGGTCATATTTCTGGGCACACACCGTGTTATTGTAGGAGGCCTGCTTCGAGGAGGTTCCTGGCAAGCAGAACTCACTTTTAGGGTCAGAAGAGCCGCAGCAACGCCAGTGGGTGTGGGCCCCACAGGATGTGCATTCGGGCGAGCAATTTCCATTACCTGAGCACCGAGCATGTCCGTGTGGATCACCTCCGCATCCAGTCCATGCATCGGTTGCTGGCCATTGGCAATGTCTTGGAGGCCGTAGCATCAAATGGAGCACCCTCACCGTGCTGCCAGTATCCGAATCACTTTCTGGCAGGGCATAGTCCGACATGTGAGCAGTCGATTGCGCATCATCCAGCACTGTAGCACCAAAACACAGCTGAATGCATTCCACAGGTTCGCCCACTTCGGCTGACACTCGATGCAGCAAGTCCAATACAGTGGCGTTTACCTCAATCTGGAATCTGCAAGCGCTCCCGCCGCCAAAACGGACACACTCGATGTCCATGGCTCAGGGGAATGAAGGTCTGTCGGTCTGTCTCTTCCCTCACACCAAACAAGAAGCGATCAGGAAGTTCTGACAATCATTCCGTTGAAAGCGACACAGCGACAAGTTGACAACAGCAGCCCCCATAACCCCCAACATCAAACGATGCCAACACCTTGACATTCTTTCACATTAAATTAGAACCACTCTGCCAGAGGATTCCTGGAACCCTCAAGCCTCTCAAAACACGGAGAAGAAGCACTTATGACACCAATACCAACACAACCATGATTGTCCTCGTCAAGTCGTCAATCTAACATTGGCAACGGAGAAAAAAGACATGTCGCTGCATGCCCCACCGAATCTCTCATGATGTTGGCAGCAAAGTGCATGCTGATCATGGAAACCAGAACGTCGACATCGGCTTTGTGACCACATCTATCAGCCGTCCCCCATGACCTTGGGCACCTGGCTGAATCTCTATACCTAACTCCAATCTAAGCAAAGGCTTGCTTTAAAATGTAGGCTGTGTTGGGGACAGACCCAACATTGGAAGGGTTTGAGCTAGGACCAGGAGAAACATGCAGCAAAGTGTGGGTGAATCTTCTAAGCCGACCTGGATAGAATCTTCAGCTCGAAGATCTTGGGTGTGTGGGTGGGGGTGCTCAATTTCTATTTTTGTGCCAAGAAACCTCAGCTGAGATGAAGATCTTTGCGGCATGCCTCTCCATCTCCAAAATCTCTCTCACAAAATCATCTGCATGGACATGTCATATGTCAAGCAAAAACATTCCTTGATAGTTGAAGTACAAATGCCATAACATGCCATAACATTACATGCATTAAATTTAGGAATGTCAGAGTCCTTCATTGAAATATCTCGAGGATCACTCGTGTAAGCGAATGTGGCGCTTGAACCGATTGGTGCATGTGCGCGGCTGATCTCAATCGGAAATTTGTCTTAGCGTCCTGGCCCCCAACAGGGTTCCACAGTCTGATCTTCCAGCTGCCTCGTGCTTGCCATTGGCACCAGAATTTCATGATGCCTCTCTGAGCTACGGGATCTCCGAAGGTGACGTGAGGATGCTCAAACAAGAAGTTCAGACAGGATTCCATATTGACTTCCATATTATCCTCTGAATTTGCCCGTGCGCCCGGTTCTGTCATCTCTTGCAACTTGCCAAGACTAACCTTGGGACTCAACACCTGCAAGTCATGCGACAAATTGCCCAGTCATTCCCTGCATCTCCAGCGGAAGTGCAATCAATCCATTTCTGACGTCCCTAGTGAAATTGACAGCTTGCTGCTTGGCACTCTTGTGTTACAACGGCTCAATGATGCTGCCCCCGTGCTCGTGCTGCTCAGCAGCACAAGTGGGAAACCTTAAATTACATCTGCGAAGGCGCAAAGGCCAAGAGCGCATACCTGCACGAGCCGCGTTTGGCATTCTGAATTATGCAACGAAAAATGCATTCTTTGGCAATCCGCACCTGGGTCCAGAACAGGAAAACGAGCCCTCCAGCTACCAAGCATCTGACACATCGGACACCTACCTCACCTAGATTCCAGAAGAACTTTGGGGTTGACCTCAACTGACCGCATGGTCCAAAAAGAAAGCACATTGCAGGAAGGTCTGAGTGTTCTGCGCCTTCAATCAAATTCCTGCCACACCGCTGTAGAAACGTAAAGAACGCCGTCTTTTCAAGCATGTTTGACATGCCATTCAAGAGTTCAAGCGAATGAACTGACAACCACAACCAAGAAAAGGAAGGACGTTATCGAGGACCAGGATAGCTGACGATAGCTGCAACAATCACAAGAGCACCTGCCGCCAATCATTATGGAGAGCAAGTTCCGACTACTTGCCGACGACGATCTTTGGAGCTCATTATTGTGCGATGGAGCTCAGCCAGCATATCTCCAATGATTTTGCATGAATCCCACCCCGTGTGATGTGTTAAATCTCACAGCCCAGCATCACACATCGTCACCCACCTCCACAGCCATATCTGCACTTGGCTCAGCATTGCCATCCCGGCCTCTGCCAAGGCAAAACATCTGTAACATGACATCCCCAGAACAAAACTCACACGTTCAGGACGTGAAGGGGTAGCTGATGGGTTCAAATGACAGCCACACGAGCAGGGATCTTTGGGCAGCCTCGTTTAGCAACAGAACGCCCCACGGGCCCATGATGCCAGGGCATGGTAGTAGAGCAGTTGTCAGAATGACCGTCAAATTTTGAAACTTGAAACCCTGAAACCTTCCACTTACTTGAGGCCAAGGGGGGGCGAAAGCTAGCGCTCCAGAATGGGAAAGTGGAGGGCAGCGAGGTAGGAAAAAAGACGGCGCTCTTTTTGGAGGCAGGGGTGAAGAGTCCTTTATATGTGGCTCTTTGCCCGGATCCTCCTGCGAGAGAAGAGAGAGAAGAGAGACGGAAAGACGAGAGACAGAGAGGAGAGAGAGAGAGAGAGGAGAGAGAGATGAGAGAGATGAGAAAGAGATGAGAGAGATGAGAGAGATGAGAGAGAGAGAGAGACAGTGAGACAGTGAGACAGTGAGACAGTGAGAGAGTGAGAGAGTGAGAGTGAGAGCGAGCGAGTGCGGCCGCAAGATACGCAACGCTAACCGCATGCCAAAGAGCGACGACACGACGGAGTCCAACTTGCGAAGAGGGAGGAGGGAGGGAGGGAGGGAAGATGGGAGGAAGACAAGGAGGAGGAGAGGGGAGGTGGGGAGAGGGGAGGTGGGGAGAGGGGAGGGGGGGGGGTCTTCGACCTGAAAAATCAGGGGTTAGGATTTGCACCCGGTCGAAAGAAACCTTGCTATCGCAAGAGTAACTCCAGCTAGCTTCGCTAGCTTTCGTGAAAAGAAGCGTCCTGTTTGTGATCTGTAGTTCAAAATGCGGTAACAAAAAAGAAATCAGCTTGGGCCCCGGGGTCCACGCAGAACGGAAAATTAAGGAGACCTCTCCGAGCCTGTTTTCACCATTTTTCACCTACTTGCCTTGGTTTCCGTGTCTCTCGTGTTCTCCCCACCTGGACCTTTCCAAGTGTTGTCCAAGCCGAAGCTCTGATCAGAGGACTCGCTCCTTGGAAGAAAATTGTGGGGGACCCTGGGTCAGTGAATAGATAGATATCTATCATTCATCATCTATATATAATATTTCTACATCTATGCAAAATGTGCGTGTTTTATGATGTTTTTTAATGGTACAGTACAGCTATCACCTTATGATGTCATGTCTGCCCCAAAAGGAAAACACATTTTTGCCCATCCATGATGCCACAGTGGCCGACTGCATGCTTCACTGCAAGCACCCGCAGGTTGAAATGCCCAAGCCAACAAATCAATGTAACATGTATCATGTATCATATGTATCATCATGTATCTAAACGTGTGGAATCCGGTGGGACATTGCTTTAGCTGTTCCATTCCATCCAAATTGAACGTTTCTGAGCGAGCAGGCATGGGCGAAAATGGCTTGATGGAGCTCCTCGCGGGCAAGCAGTGAGGCAATCAGGGCTTGGCAATATCAAACGTAAAACTAGGAAATGCACGAATTTCTCCAGATTTAGTAGTCAAAGGCCTGAAAAGGTATTGAAACCAGACTTGGTCACAGCAACTACAAACAAGACAAGGCACTGTCAGGCATTCTGCAACAGCTCTGAAACTCAAGGATTCAACGTTCCCCTTGGACTTCAACGGCTCTGGGCGCCGGACTGAGCTGTATTGTTCAACGAAGCAGGTCCTGCAGCTTGACCGCTCATGCCTTAGGAAGTCTGACCTCGTACGTTGGAAAAAGCATTATCTTTATATATAATAAGAAGCCGGTCAGGAAGGGCCAGCGGCCAGGCTGTCAATTGAACGTGTCCAAATGTACAACAAAAGGAAGCTTAATAAGGTTGAAAAGAAATGCACATAAACAGCTAACATCACATTTCATTGATCAAAAAGAAACAAACGCACAAGCCTGGACAAAACACAATGCAAATGAATCCCAAAACAAAAGCACATGGGTGTGGCGAAACCTATACCTTCCTTTTCCTTGTGTCCCCGTCCTGTGGCTCCAGCTCCGCCCTGCAAGTGTGCTGCCAGGGCACAGTTGGAACAGCCCCAAAGGTGACCAGGCCAACAGAAAATCGACAGGAAATCAATTGAAACACTTCGCACAAATTCTCAAACAAGCCGGTTGGGGTGTTGAATCTTCAGGTCTGGGTCAAGACCCGGAAACAGCTTGAGAAAAATCTGCGGCTGGCACTTGCAGCCATCCTCCCGTTGCATTCGCTGGCGTAGCATCTGACCTTTCAGTAATCAAAGTATCCAAGGTATTCCAAGGTTAAAACGTTGGCCAGGCTGAATGTTGAGACCCGCTCAACCAATACTACAAAGCTCGCTCCACCCCTTGCCCATCTGCATGCCAACTGGGCGTGGAACATGCTCTTCACGGATACGTCTCCAGGTGCCTGAAGCGAGCAGCACTGCGAGCAGTGGTGACCCATGGTGAACCGTATTGAACCTTCTTGTGGAACACATGTCTCATCAGTAGGGCACACATGTCTCATCCATACATTCAATTCGTGACATAAACCGACCACATCGACTACCGGAGCAAATCCATCCAGCCCACGACATGCAACCCCCCAAACAATATGGCACCTCACGAGGTGACTGCGAGGGTCCAGCTGACTCCTGTTATGCAAGTGCTCACACTCTGACGGAACAAGGACGCTACTAGTAACAAAGGGCATCGTTACTAGGAACAAGGACGCTACTAGTCTGGAAAGAAATCAAATATACTCAGGGCCACTGACATAGGAATGGGCTTGTGGCATAGGAGTTGTCATCGTTGCCCGCAACGACTAGAGTCATCAGTCAGCAAGCAAGGTTGCCAAATTCACCAGCATGACACAGGAGTTGTGGACGTTCTGCCAGTACATTGAGAATAACCTACTAGCGCTTGTAACATAAAATAGCGTGCTCACGGAGAAAAAACCGAGGAAGTCTTCATAACTTAGGCGCTCCCTGTTGTCACATGCCCTCTCATCCACTAGTTGCCGCATGACCAAACTCTTTCCTATTTCCTCCACTGGTTGAAATATTATGCCATTAAAGGTAGTGACATGTATAATCCTACTGTATGTAATGTGCGGTTTAATATCAACTACCTCCTCATTAATGTTTTGACCTGATGAGGTAGGAGTTGTGGCGTATATGATCTTTCCTGATGACATATTTAGGTATTTTTGCCCATTGTCTCACAACTCCTATCTCACTGGCCTGCAGTTACAATACAAATATAGTCTGTGCATTTTGAAGGTCTGGACCTAGATCCCTCCAGGTTTATAGTCTGTGCTATTTTCAATGATACAGTCCCACTCTCCCCCAATGTCCCCCATCTCTCACTGGCCTTCGAGCTGCTGCCTGGACCTGCCGCTTTGGATTGAGAAACCCACCTCCTTTGCTTCCACAGCAAGGCTCTCCCACCTCCAAGCGGCACTGTCGGCTTCTCGACGGCCTAGGCAAAAACCATGGTTGCGTCAACAATGCACAATAGCCTTGCCGGAAAATGGGTGAAGAATGATGGAGGCAAAGAATGCATAATTTTAGTAGGACTTGTGAAGAACAGGCGTTGGTTGACTTCATTTATCTGCCTGACAAACCCCCAAGTTCCGAGCAGGTTTCGGTGGCCCAGGGGCAGGTCCGCCAGGTGGTCCGACAGGTAGACCAACCTTTGGCCTCAGCGTTAAAGGGTCGGTCTAAGGGAGATCAGTTCGCATCTCACGTTAAATCAAGGCGTTTCCACAAACAAAAACTTGGAGCTTCCAGTTTTGGCTATTATTGGGCCCTTGCGCTGGAGGTGCAGCAAACGGTCGCATGTCCTGGCACAGCCAGCTATAGATTTGTTTCACCGACCTCACAACACAGCTTTAATAAGCAGCAACAAGGGCTGGATGCAAAGGTTTTAAGTTTTAAGCGTCTGTACATGCAGGCAGTCAACCTGCTTTGACATCACGACGGCCTTGACGCAATGTCCCTTGCTCTACATACTATATTCAACGCACTCGGACCATCCCCAACTGGTATCCCCAACTAAATCAATTCCACTGTGCCTCAGAAGGCATCAATCGCACGATTGGATAAAGGACAAGTGGCAATGGCTCAAACATAAAGTACAATCGAAAGGAATAGTTTTCTAAAGTCACTGGGTCTTGATCTTTTGAGCCATAGCCAACTCGCCAATAAGATTGCGAAATCTGGCCATGTTTCTCCGTTTGTGTGATGAATTGCTTGTATAGGTGCTGAATATGCCTGCACACATTCATATATATATATATATGCACCCTTATTAGTGATTAATAGCCATATAGTAACATATTTGTATGTAAACTAGACATACATATAATACAGTATAAAGGCACGTTACGTTAAGCGAAAGCACTTGAATGCCCCGATTTCCCACGACATCCGGATGAATCCGACTGGATCTTCCCTGCTGGATCTAGTGGCCTCACTGGACTTCAGGGAGCTGATCCGCTGGATGGTCTGTGGCCGCACGGTGAACAAGGGAACGGCCCCAAAAGTGCCCGAAGGCCTCGTGGAGATCTAAAAAGGGTGGTGACTATGTCTGGACATCGAAGCACTCACAAGATGTTTAAGAAAAAGACGGTGAGCAGATCTGTCACAAAGGAATTCTCGCTTTAAGGTGTTAACCCCCCGGTGCCCAACGATGCGGACTTCCACCATGCAGCACAGTGGCTGCCTCCAAGGACTCTGTGCGGTCTTCTCTAGCCTGACACATGAGGACTGGGAGTGGCCGAAGTCGACTGAAGCAAAGAATTTTATTGTGTGTGTGTGACTTTGTGCGCCTCTGGCACTGGCTCCAATGGCCTTGCTTGCTGAAACTGGAAAGACCATGAAAGACACTTAGAGACTTGGAGTAGTGCAAGGTCCGGACATGCGAATGTGAAAAGGTAAAGTATGGCAAAGGCCTCCAATCTAATTAATAGTGATGCCTCCAACCTAGAAGCGGTGGCCTTAAAAACTTAAAAGTATAGTCACTGAACATGATCGCACGTGACGTGTGCCTTTTCCAACGTGGCCTTCGCTCACGGGAGGGTGTGGCCATATGAATCGAGAGGATACTGGATACCTTTCCTCGCCACTCGCCACTATTTGCTGAAAAAACGCACGCCCCGCTTGAGCTATCTTGAGCTATGAGCAGGGATATGGCATCACTTTGGTGGAGAGTGGCTTGCAGGCTGTTACCAGGTCTTGCTCAAAGGAAGCAAAGCCATGCAGCACTCATCTATTCGCCGCTCATCTGTGCTCATCTATACGAACCATGGGCCACGGCCAAACAAATGGACAGGGGTGTGGTGAACAAAGTGCCAAATCAGAATGCCAATCCACCGGTCACGGCATTCATCGATCTTGGAGGTTTCAATGATCTCCTGACCGAAATGGAGTGTGCACGAGTGAGTTCGCATTGGACTACTGCTTTCACAATGCAGCAGTTAATTTGCAGTTCCTAAAGGACCCTACAACATGCTAGCTGCTAGGATTCGTTCAGTATCAGTATCCATCGAGAACCCAGCACCACACCTTCTGCAGCGCGGCCGGGATCCACCAATTCCTGAGCCATACTGTTTTCTAATTCAATAATTACCAAAACAAAGTGAAGCCACCGGAACTGCAAAGATCTAAAACTGCTCTGATCAAAGGGCATATCAATGGCCCCTACCTTCCTACCAATGTTTAGTCTTGCAACCATGGCTGTTCAGGGCATCAACAATTACAATTGAAGGATGGGCAATGCTGCTGAGAGTCACCATGTAGCCGGAGTTCTTGTTCTCATTTGCCCCAGCCACGAAGCATGCATCATGAGGTCCCAGGCTTGTGGCAAACATTCCGGCGCCCCAAGGCCACCAAGTCTTCACCAACTTGTCTTTCTTTCCACTCCTGAGTCATTTCCAGTACAGTACCAAGGTGCATTTAGAACAACAAGGCCATCCATCCAATCTGACCCACTGTTGTGAAAACTACCTTGAACTTCTTGATCTCCACGGCGTAGTTCCAGCCGGAAACTATAGATAAAGTTTAGACTTGCGACGATTCCTGTTTGGATCATGTCACAATGTCCGTCAATTAAGTAGATCAGTGCAACTATCTCTCCACATCTCTCCAAGGTCTTCCACTGGACCCTACCACTAGTAGTAGCAGGGTACTCTGCATTATGACAAGGCGAGCGCTGATGGCTGAGCACATCCAACAAACAACAATTTAACATTCAAAAGGTTGAAGAGCCTCGAATGAACTTGGAGAGATTGCTGTAAACATATATTACCAAAAATGCCGGGCAATCTAGTGCCAAAGGAGCAGTACTGTAAGTGGAGACCGAAGAAGCACCAGCATCACCAGCCTTTTCTGACCTTTGCGCCAAGCATCGCCAGCTTCATGACGTTCAGGCAGGCGTGGTAGGCTTGCTCCTCACCCGGGTAGGAGATCTTCGGCACGGGCGGCATCTCCCAGTTGCCGGGTTCACCAATGCAACCGTAGTTGCAGTCACCCACGGCAAAAATGCTGCCATCCGACCAGACTCCACCACCCAGGGAGGGCTTCTTTGTCACTTGCATATGCTTGTTGAAGTGGATCCAGCCACCTCCACCTGAAGGTGTTGCAACAGTTTCCGATAGAAGAAGTAGGGTATTAACGGGGAGAGATGAATTCGGAAAATGCTGCTGGATCCGAGCTCTGAAAACTCGTGTCTTGATTGATGCATCTGGCAGACATATATTGTCACTCACATGTGCAAAGAAAATGCCTAAGAATAGCCGCTTAATGCAGCTTGGCCTTTCCAAAAGCTCACGAACCCCGTCCTGGACCCTTGTCAGACAGTGTTTCTGCGGGCATGAAGTAGTTGGAAGCTTTGACACCGATGCACACATAGATCTCATCTGCCCCATTTGGCAGCTCAATCTGCTTCCAAAACTCCTCACCAACTGGAGAACGCAACTTTGGTGGGTGGCTCCAGACAAAAGAAAACGTCCAGAACGTCTGCAATGACCATCCAACACACGGGGACACTGTTCAAACCTGAATCAAATAATTTCAGTCGAGATGCTGGATTCTTTGGGTCATACTTGCAATTGTAGAACTCCTTGATGCCACACGCAGACCTGGGCGACCGGCAGCACAACCCACCATCGTCCGTCCGAGCAACTTCAACAGAAAGCTGCCTGCAAGGACTAATAACAAAGGCAAAGCGTCATGTAGTCCGAGCAGTACTCCGCTGCGCCGTCAGGCAAAGGGCCAAGGCAACGTGGGAGGAAGTCGATGATGGTAAGCCTTGGAAGGTCTTGTAAGCCCTGAAGCCTTTCGGAACATGGCCACCCAGGAGGCATAAGGACAGGCGGTTAGAATCCAGACCAGGCGTATAAAGATAAGAGGCACAGACGAACACACCAAAAATATCTATCATCTTTTTTTAAATGGTATTTTTGGCCTTCGTGTCTTTCCTTTTCCTTCTTTCCTGCTCTTGGGATTACACCGCCAGGCCAAGAGCAGGGGGCCCCTTCTTGGATCTGGGGCCCCCTTACACATCCAAGCCTTTCAATCTTTATGTGGGTGGGTGGGTGGGTGGGTGGGTGGGTGGGTGGGTGGGTGGGTGTGTACGAGATAATCGTAGCAGCTGCCAAGAAGCTTGACATTGGGGAAGAAGTGCTCAATCTCTGTGGCCTTGGGTCAAGGACTCAAGGACAAGTCACATCGTGCCAGTCAGTCTGTCGGCACCTTGCCAAGCGAGCTAATGATATGCGCGGCGGCATTTATTTGGTACTAAAATGTACTAAACTCAAACACACTATCTATTATGTGGGGGCCCTAGACTACTTAAGTAGGAGGTCAGGTCACAGTATCTCGTTCAGACCACTTTAGTAGCAGATCACAATATCTCGTTCAGACTACTTTAGTGAAGTGTCATCAAGCAAAGGTATCTCGTTTGTATGGGGGCCCTATCTCGTTCACAAGCGAATACGGATGATAGACAAGCAAATAGAGCACGCCGTAGACTACTTTAGTAAAGCCTATATAAATAAAAGTGGTTGCTCATATTGTCTCAAGAGAACCCGGCACAATTTGCAAGCCTTCTCCTGACCTTTACACAAATGTCAAACGCCTGTATTAGTGTTTGCTGCTTGCAATGCTCTCATGCTCTCACTTGGCAGGCGGCCCATTCCACACCAATGAAGCCAGCACCAACCACCAGGACTGTAGCCTGCTTCTTGTTCAGTTCATGGAGCTTGTGGTACTCCTGCCAGGTGCTTTGAGCAGCCTTAAGGCTCATCTCAAGGCCGACCCATCATGAAATTTCTGCCCCGGGTCGCGCGCTCTCTCTCTCTCTCCCCTTTGCCCCGGATGCCGCGTAGCTACGCATAGTAGTGATTGCAAAGGGCAAATTAAAGCTACAAGTAACACGGGATAACACGGGCATTACTACTAGTAACTAGTAGCAAGAAGCTACTAGTAATATAAATCGTTTCTCCTCCAGCACGTGACGGCGACGACCTTCAAGGTAGCGCTCGTCGATGTGCTTCCAGTCACTGTGGGCAAAGGCTGCCTCGTGCACCGTTGGGAACCTTGGTGGTGGAGGACAATGAGGATCCTTTGCCTGTGGGAGGTAGTAGTTATGCGGGGTGCATTGTTCATTCTTCGTTTCGCCAGGCTTGTGCTCATGGACCGTTTTCTGTGGCATGGGGTTGGTTCGTTTGTCACCTCTGTTGTACAATCGTCAATTGCCATCTGCGCAAGCCCAGCATCTCACGGCTTGTGGTTGAAAAAACAGCTTTCTCCCATCAACACGGCACCATCGTCGTTATCGCAGTGATGGTTTTTACGACATTGACTGCAAACAGTCTCAAAGGGTCATTATAAACTGTCATTGCATGTTTTTGTGGTTGCTCATGTGTACTGTGCTCAACTCTGAGGCGGCCAGCGCGGTGGACATCACCACAACAGCTGAAGTCCAGCACAGCTTTCAGCTGATACCGCTGCAAACAACAACCCCGCAACAGAGATGGTCTCTCCAACTTTCACTTTTTCAGCCACGGTTGTAGCTGTACGGGCAACACCAAAACACACATACTCAAAAAAAAAAAAAACTTGTAAACAGTGATTTTGAAGACCCTGCCAAACTGTCGATATAGCAGGGCCAGTTATAGGACTTGGGTGTGGTGGGGCGCCTGTGTCATTACAACGGTGACTATTCAATTGGCCGTCGCCAAGCAACATTGTCTTCGTATCTGCAATATTGACATCGAACGGTGATTTGATTATAATTGTACACTGGAAATGGATGCAAATGGAGCTTGACACGGAAGCGCATGTAGGGGGTGGAGGTTAGCATCATCCTCCAAATTTATCACCATGTAGTTCGCGTGCCACAGCATCTGTATTCCGCAACATCGGGGCATATTGTTTTCATAAAATGGTGTTCGCTATGTGTAAAAGTTATCATCACATCTGAGAGGTCGCAAATTTGAACAAAACAACTGCTTTGAACAATTTGCCTTAAGTTCTGCTCAGGAGTTCAGGATTGGATAAGGGTCCAAAATCATCAAAAATCTATGTCAAGCTCAAAAAATATCAGAACGTCAGATCATGCAGGATGGCATGTTTATTTCGCGAGCAGGAGTGCAAGCTGAGGAGCCACAAGGATTCGCCCATGGGTTTGAAAGGGCCAAAGTTGCAACCCGAGCAAATGATGCAGTAGTCCTGGGTTGCTTGGCACAAAATGATGAAACTCTGAAATCTCTGAGCCAAAAGCCTCTGGCACAAGAATTAAATGAAAAGGGAACAGTTTGAAGCCATTGGTCTGAAAGCAAGCAAACATCACTCTCATGGCCATGGATCAAAGCCAATCTCATCCATGTTGTTAGAGAACATGGGCTTCACGCTCGCGGTCTTCTTATCTCCATCCAGTGCCTTCACCTGCCACGGATGTCGATTGTATTGCTGTGCCAAGATCATCCTACATTAACTCTGAACCCTGTGCGCCTCACCCCAGATGAACTTCACACCCATCTTACGCTCATACACCGGCTGCCTTGGATCACACTGGGTCATAACAACATCAGGCACCGTGTTCTGTTCCTGTGCAACGGCGCAAACACACACATGGAGAGTTGAGCGATCGGCAAAATTAAAGTTTTAAACAATTGATCGTTTCTACTGAGGCTTCGTTTTCGGTTTTCCGGCTTCGTGTTCCAAGGATTTGTACCAGTTAGGCTACTATGCTCTGTTTGTTCACCAGGTGAGTTATATTACCACTAGACCTTTACAAGGTGAAGTACAGCAAAGGAACTTCTTTTGAAAAAACCTAAAGTGGATTTTGGCTTCGTTTGGGGCTTTGTTGTGGCTTCGTTTTGAGACACCACATTTCATGCACTCCAAAAG